TGCCACCGTCCCTGGAACGACTGGAGGTGAGGATGGCAGGGGAGTTCGGGCAGCAGCTGGGGCCGAAGATGGCAGGGGAGTTCGGGCAGCAGCTGGGGCCGAAGATGGCAGGGCAGTTCGAGCAGCAGCTGGGGTCGAAGATGGCAGAGCAGCAGCTGGGGTCGAAGATGGCAGAGCAGCAGCTGGGGTCGAAGATTGCAAAGCAGCAGCTGGGGTCGAAGATTGCAGAGCAGCAGCTGAGTTCGATGTCGTTGGAACAGGATCGGGGACCGTCCTGACAGTGATGCAGTCTCTGACTTCCTCGACTGGATAGTTCCAGAAGGGCTTTCGTGGGGAACCCATGGCTCTTCTTGTAAAAAAGAAGAAAAATGAGTAGAAATGAATAACAACCCGGAACGGGAAGGGCAAGGTAAATTCTTAGAGTGGAATGGTGAAGCCAAGTATGAACAAGAGTTGAGTACAATAGTACTCGTGATAGTCAAGAAAGTAAGAGTGATGAAGAGGAGTGATAGCAATTTTTTGTTCTCAATGTTGGAGATGGCGAGTGGTTTATATACATACCAGTGGCCACATGAAGGACATAATAGTCAGGAATCCGAGACGTCATTCACTCCCAAAGTCGAGGAGCAGTCTGGCTATTCTCACGGTGGGAGCTCCGTGCCAGCTCAGTGGTGATGCTTGACTTGCACATCATCATTCCACTTCGTTTCGCGATATATCATATACGCGAGGCACCTCTGGGAGATCACAACCCATGATTCAGCCGTGGCGCGTAAATCAACCCTCGGACCTCCATTATGGCATGTTTCTTGCCCAATCTGCCACATAAACGGCGGATCATGCACGCCTCACGTATGCCCATCATATTCGTCTCATAGAGTCCGACCAAGAGCAAGCCTCAAAGTCCAGCGAATCAACTGCTTCAACTCAGTCAAGACAGTCCTGCTCCTGCTTTGTGATCGCCCTCGTGCCTTATCCATTGGCTATTAGGCACGAACGAGAGAGAAGTGTGTGTAAGTCGTGACCCGGAATGAGAGCTTGCTGTACGCCGCATAAAGTAGACACAAGGGCGGATATGATTCTCGCGCGTAAATGCAAGTTATCGGAAACACGGGAATGGCCCCGAGAAAAAATGACGAAGCAAAAAAGAGAGCAAACGCGAAAAAAAAAGGCAGCACTGATATTGACCGGCACACCCTTCTGGCCTCATGCTTCCAGTGGACATGATGCCAATGCGAGGAGAGGGATCCCCCAAGTCGCTTCTTGATATTCTATCACCTACCACAATGTAACGTTTGGATGCAACTGGATCTGTATGCGGCTGATATGTCAGTCCTAAGAGTGAGATTTGGATTGCGACTGGAAAAGAATGACGCAGCACTGAGAAATAGAGGACAGACTGGGACATGGAGTACATTGCCTCGATGTGACATTGCAATACTGATTGATAACTTATTGCATGGAAGCAAGAAATGCACGACGGGATCTGAGCCTCTGAGGTGAGTAACCCAAAGCCCTCCCGCGTATGCCTCTTTTGACTGGACAGGTTCACGAGTCGTAGTGTTATCCCGCAACACATACTCGGGCGAAACCTTGTTAAAGTTGGCACCGGTTGACAAGAGTGCTGTCCTTGTCGCCTTGGTCGCTTCGGTCTACAAGCAGTACAAACACGTGTGCGACGTGTGACCATGATGGTTCTCATTGGCCTGTCCTGCCTCTCTGCTTTGTCAACGGAATTGCGACATGGCTAGGATAACCCGTTTGCATTTAGCTCGGCTTGTGATGTGTTTCGTGCAGTGTTGTGAGACGTGAGTCTGTATTAACATGGCCGTTAACGGAAGTACCGCGAAGCTGGCACAAAGTCGCGGTTATGTACAACGGTGCCTTCATTGATGGGGAAACCCGAATTTTGTCTTTATTCCGGCTCATTTGATCGCCCACCCTTTGCCGCCTATTTGATCTGTCTCTCGGCTTCCTGCATCATCATGTCAGCTCATGATCAGGGAGACCTCGTGATTGAACGCGCAAGACGCGACAGACGCACAGCATTCAAGCACAACCCCTCCTCCAGTCGATTGGTCAAGTGGACGGCCATCAGCCACCGCCTCCATGCATAGCCGAGTCAACCGAACGTGAGGGGACCAGCTTGGCGGTGCTACACCGTTGATGTTGTTCCTGGCTCCAGGTAACCAAAAAAATCCGCTTTGTTCTCCTGGTTGTCGTAAAGGCACGGGATGGAGTATGCTAACTGAGGACGTCAACTGTGACTCACGCATCCCTCGTGGCATCAAATTTGGTGTGTGTGATTCGTGGCTAAAAGCTCCTGCGCAATCAGACCGAACCCATGCACCATTGTGCATGAATAGTCTCGGCTAGACTGCTTTTCTGCTGGCGCGCATACGTCCAAAACCCCACGCTGTCTTCCAACAGCACTGTACAACTTTGCTGGCCCGCCACCCATGTGATTCTCCCAATATACTTGCGATATTATCGAGAGCAACCCAGGGGCACGCTTCTTGATCCAGGAACTAAGTCGCGGGGCCCGTCCGGCCTCTTGTTCTGGGCCGCTCGAATAGCCAATAGTCCAGTCGTCCTCTTGATCTCCGATGGTCAAAAGCAGTGAGGCAAAGCTTGATATCGGGAACAATGGGACAGTCCTTATCACGGCCTCAGCTTTGACCCTCGTGGGATGGTACATGCTGTTGCATGCTGTGCAAGGAGGATAATGCAGGTGAAAACGAAAGATGACGAAGCCAGGGAAGTTCGAGTCGTCGTGTAGTAAGGCATCCGTATCAGCATTGTTTTGATGAAGTAAATGATATATGATAAGCTGGCAGCCGAAAAGTCGTCTTTCTGCGTCACCTCCCTGAGCCCTCCAGCATACATATCACGACCCCTACCGTGGCCTGGGTCGCTCTTATCACAGAAGCGGAGAAGGAGAGTCTCTGACCGAGCGAGATGTAGTGTCCAACTTGGCGGGAAGCTGCAGGAAGCTGTCATATAAAAGCATCCGTATCATTATTGATCTGTGGTGGCCTATGACGGTGAAGTTGTACTCCTGCTTGCGCTGCCGCATTGCCGTGCGGCGTGAACGAGTCCTCATGCCTCAGTCTGTTGGCGGGCCCAGAATCAGGTATCCTTGGACCTCCCACATTCTTTGCGGTCGGAGAGCCGAGTCATTCCTTTTCTGTTGACGCTTATCTGAAGAGCCAACGTCTATGTTGCCGATCAGCCGCCAATACCCAAAAAAATATTGTCCTGCGATTGCCAACGTCAGTACGCAATTACGTCAAGAAAAGATGATCTTCCGGTATACTCAGATACCAGTCTACTGTCTATACTGGCGGAGTTCTTCTGGTAGCTCTGACTATACCTGATCAACCCCCCGGTCACTACCTCATGACAGCCTGGCCTCAACCTTAGACCTGTAGTGATAATGGCCGACCACATCATCGATTTCAGCAGGCTCCATCGGATTTGCCTGTAGAGCTGCTCGGTCTACGACAACTGTCTGACGAGGTTCAATTGCCACTTATTTTCATCGGAAGGCAGTCCACCAGACATCTGCATGACTTCGTCTCAGTTGCTTTCAAGATGCTGGCTATGGAACAGGACCGTTGCTAGCGTAGCTTTCTCATCAGCCCCCATCTGACGCTTGAGGGCTGGGAGTATTCAACTCCCGTTTGCAAGCTATGTGGCGACGAAGACCTGGAAGTCTGTGCGCTAGTAGCTCACGAGTCCAACATGCATCGATTTCGTACCGGAGTGTCGTTCGAGATTCGAAAACACCTGGCCAGTCAAAGAATCTCGACCTTGCGTTGCGCGGCAGGCATACAATGACAAGACGAAGGCAAGAGCGTCCATCTGCGACCGCTCAGTCAAGTCCGGCCAGCAACCCAATTCCAGAATCCTCTTCGACGTCGTTTCACCCTCTTAGGTTCTCGACTTGCCTGGCCTCTTCATTCAAGATGATTGCGGTACTGGCACGACGGCATCGCGTTCAAATGATCGTCACAGACCATACTTTCTGGTGCTTCTGTACTGCCCTGCTGACGTGCGCAAGAAAACTTAAGATGTCTTCCAATGTCTGATTGTAGCTTTCAATAGATTCTATGCAGAAAACACGTACCTAATGCGTTGAAATACAAATCGGATCACACGCAAGCATACGCGAGAACTCTAGAGTAAACCGCCCATCCCTCGAGATACACGAACAGAATGGACCGCATGCAAACCGCAACCGGAAAATGGAACTTGGGGGTGCAGCGGCGACAACGGACGGTTGATGGAAGACGACGATTGACTTTTCGTACGCGCGGCCGAATCGTGAATGGTGAGGCTCTCAAACAGTAAAAAGCGTGCCCAAAAGAGTCAAGTACCTACGAAGGGTCGTCACCACATGTTTTGCAGCTCTTTCCTCTTCATGGTCGACGCCCACTGGCCATCCGCACTACAGAGAATGCGCCGAAAGACCTGACTGTAAAGGGGAATATTCAGCCTCCCTATGATGGCCTAGCTCCAAGAGCTATTCGCGAGTGTCTGCGCCGCCGTCTGGGTGGCATGCCCAATTCCGTTGCGCCATGAAAGACAAAGAAAGAATATGCATTGTACAAGTTTCTGAACCCCGTACAATTGACGCCTGTGTTGCTGAGGACTGAGCAAAGCCAGACCATCACACTCCCTCCCACAATGTCCATTTCCATATGGACGACGTAGGGGCAATTGAGAAGCCGGAGAACATTGATGGGACAGGTAAGTCAACCCTCGCGTGTTTGGAGAGCGCTGGACGATTGTTTCTGCGCGGCCCTCCCTTTGATTGATTTCGGGCGTTACTTGTGGAGTTGGTGAGTTACCCCGACGTTGATCTGTTTTACAAGTTCAAGCCAGCGACAAAAATTCACGTGACTATAGAAACCTTACACGTACTTCCCTCGGTAGGTCAAACTTTTTGAATGACGATACAAAAAGAAACATACACTATCAGGGTGTTTTCTCTACTGTGGACAAACGGGGAATCGAACCCCGGACCACTCCCAGGCGTTATGTCAGTTGCCTAACACATGCTAAGGGAGTATTATACCACTAAACCATTCGCCCGTTGATATCAGGCAGAGAGATATTACTGTATATATTGGCTTGTTTTTGACTGGATGGAGGATTCGAGCAAGCTTTTTACAAAGCTCCTTGCTTCTGGCAATTTGCAAAGAAAGCTTGTTTCCCGCCAGACAGGGGTTAGATATGTACAATGTGCGATAGAGGAGGTACCTATGTATGTAATCTGCGTCGTCATAGCCGCTCCCCCGCACCTGCAGCCACTTATTAGTACCCTAATGTACGGAGTAGGAGGAATATACTCCGTAGTAGGTACATGTACAGGTATGTATGTATGTAGCTTGGCTGGCGCAACAGCACGACAGAAGATATCCAGATCCGCCCCAATTCCTCTTGTGCTCGTCGTGTAGCTCGCAAGCACGTCTTCTTGACTCTTCACTCTCTTCACTATGGCTTCAGAAAGCAATGTAGGCGATATCCCAGCCCCTGCAATAGCTTCCCTCCGCCAATCCCCCAATGCTGAACCGAATCTTCTCTGCAGGATCCGAAGCTCCTCTACGCTGTCGAGGGAATCAAGGCCTATCACATTGCCCAAGGCAATGAACAACCACTCAACCCACTCGGGCCCGAGACCTTATCGTTGCTAATGGTATCAACATCGTCTGGCTTTTCCGACGCCTCTGGCCCTGCATCGGGTCCGCAAGACTTCTATCTGCATCTACATTTGCCACCCGAGCTTGATCTGCCTCTCCCCGCCACGACACAGATCTACCATCAACCCCCAACGAGCTACCTGATTCCTCGCTGGGATCTCGGGCCCGACAGCGGCGCATTCACACGAATAGAATTCCCGGCCATTGGCTCTCGCGCTGGTATCCAAGAAGACGTCGATACTTTCGAGACCATTCTGGCGCAATGCACTGCTTTTCTGGAACGCGCCACGGCCCCGGGGCCCTCGGGGAGCAAGACATCATCCGTTCCGGCGTCTTCTTCCAAGGCAAAAGAATCTGCTGGTGATGAGCCACCTGCGTATGACCCTGCCAGCTTCGCGACAGGCGAGGGCTATGCTCATGGCAGCGTGAGCTCAGCCTCTAAAGGAGGCCGCATTGTTCTGGTGGACGAGGAAGATGGCAGTGTCGTTGGGGAGCTAGGCGACGGGTTTCAGGTGGTGGAAGATACGGCCATAAAGCCCGGATCCAAAGGTTTGTGTCATTCACTCAACGTCCTTGACTACCGTGTTCCTCTACGTCTTGCTAATCCAGTCTCGGACTCGCGGGACAGATCCTGTCGAAATCGCACTGCCCACCGATGCGTCACAGGCCATCACGGTTCAGCCCGTATCGGGATACAGTGATGACGACGAGGACGACAGGGTGCATCCAGCCTACAAGAAGTCCACGATCGTCAATATGGGAATGCGAGCGTCTCGTCTTCTCATAACGACGTCGGATTATGTCGCGCATACCCTCAGCAGCCAGGCTGAAAACTACGCCAAGAATACCCAGCCCAACACAAAGCCTGTCACATTCACGCCTACGACTCACGCGCACATCCGCCGGATCAACCACTTTTCCACCAAGGCTGCAGGTTTGTCCGCGTCCACTGTCGGATCCATCTCCAAGGTTGCGCAAAACTTCGGCGCCAACCTATCCAAGCGAAAGGATGGTCGTGCGCGTGGCTTCGACAAGGACGGTAAGCCTATCGACACATACAAGCCAGGAATGCTCAACAAGAGCCTCATGGCGTTCAACACCGTCGTGGATGGTATGGAACAAGCCGGACGCAGCTTGCTCACCAGTACCTCATCTAGCGTCAGCCATGTCGTTGAACACAAATGGGGCCCTGAAGCCGGCGAGGTGTCTCGCAATCTCGGCGGTGGCGTCAAGAATGTTGGCCTCGTCTACATTGATGTGACGGGCGTTTCTCGACGCGCAGTCTTGAAGAGCGTGGCCAAGGGAATGGTGGTGGGAAATGTCAAGGGTGGCGGCAAGGTCATTGTCGGTGGCGGAGAAAAAACGGACAAAGCGGGATCCGAGGTGGCAGAAGGCAGTGGCAAAGGCAAAGCCTAGGAAGACGACTCATGGTCATAATGGGGTGAGGATATGCGGATTGCCTGCAGGCACAAAGGGACGTCTGCTGGAGACGGTGTATGTAGGGACGGAGTACTCATAATAAACGAGTCGATGGTCAAGAGCCGTTGTAATGCTGCGGGGGCGGTGCATTGCAGGAGAATAGATATGTATGAGAAAAGATTGTAAATACTTTATCAGATTGCCGGAGTATGGAGTTTCATGCAGATCACGTGTCTGCGCGTTCGCCTTCGCGTTGGCGAACCCCCTCAACTCCACACGCGTCTCCTCACGACTTCTCGACGTCACCTCACGTCACGTCATCTTCAATTCCCGCTGCTGTAGCCTGTGACGCTGTCCATCACGGCGGCTCTACCTCCCCATCCCAGGCTCGCCGTTGCAGATCACGAAGTATTCCGACTTTCAATCAACTCCTCACTCAAAATTCGTGCCCTAGGCGCCATCAGCCTCCCATAAAAATCGCAGCTGCGCGTCCCATGTGTCGGTTCGAGCTGCTCGGGGCCATCATTCTTATTTCCCACGACATACAAGACGCGATCAAGCGCCGGAAGGCGGCACGAAGCAACACGCGATGCTCCACGAAATCCTCCTGTCCCTCTCCGGTCATCCGTCGCCTCTCCTACGCCCGCCAAGCTCGCCCGAGGCAGACGCCCTCGCAGGAATCAGCCCGCCCGAACGGCAACTACTCTCTTCCGCCGGCCACATAAGTCATCTACACACGAAGCTCATCGCCTATTCTTCCGAGACGGCCACCTCTCATCCCAGTACAATCTGCAGAGCTGTCTGTACGGCCATTAGCTCCGTTCACCTAGCTGCCTTTCAGCGCAAGGTGCTAGACGTGGAGGCGAGCGTGTTGAGGAGCGATGCGGACTTGGTGGGCGCCTACAACATTGTGCCCCTGACGGCCGTCATGAGCGAGTTCCAACAATGGACTAGACGGTTGGAGTGGCTATGGGATACGGTGCGGTTCATCATGGCGAGGGACGGAGAGGGACGGGCTTGCCGCGGCGCTGCACTGATTGATCGCTTGCGGGACGAGCTGCAGAGCGGATATCAGGACGTGGCGGCTACGGCAGAGAGTCTGGTCAAGGCAGCCGAGACGGCGTGGCTGAAGCAGGTTTCGGCATGGGTGCTGTATGGGAGACTTCCTAGCTTCGGAGCCGACGACTTCTTCGTACAGATGACGACGATACAGGGTGCCCCGAACAACCGTGACTATGCCTGCATGGCAGAATGTCTACCTTCTTTTGTCACGGGCGCGACGGCATCGTCTATGCTCTTTATTGGAAAATCCCTTCACCACGTTCGATCCATCAACACGAGCTCCACGTCTACGGGGGTTGCTCACGTTGCCACCAAACTGTCTGAGTTGTCCACGCTGTCCCTGCCGCTTGAAAGCACTGATTTTTCCAAGGCAATCAAGGCTATCCGCACGTCGTTATCTGAAACCACTCTGCAGCAGATGCTGCCGCTGGCCAAGGTATCGGAAATGATGCATCTGCTCCGGGAATTCTTCCTCCTCGGACGGGGCGAGTTCGCCATGGCGCTGACACACGAGGCGGATGAGAAGATTCGCAACCGGTGGCGAAGGGCGGTGACCGGGACAGGGCATCATCCTTCTCATCTGGCGCACGACAACGGTGATCAAAGTGTCAAAAACGTGACGGTAAAGGATGGGGAAGTGGCTGCCGTGCTAAACCGGACGTGGGCGGTTCTCGTGTCCATGCAGGGCCAGCACGCCGAAGAAGACGACCAGCTAGACCTGGCCAGGAGCTTGATACAGCTCCATCTGACCAAGGTCAGGCCTCCGGCTGCTCTGGCCACAGGCAGAGGGCTCAACATGGAAGCGGCAAGCCATGTGGCCGCGTCTCCGTTTCGCAACATGCTGTTTGGCGTGCCGGCCATGCTGAGCATCGACCTCCCCTCGCCGCTCGACATGGTCATCTCGGCGTCGGACCTGCAGCTCTACTCGTCCATTAACTCCTATCTTCTATCACTCCGCCGAGCACACATCCGTCTTACGGACCTATGGAAGATCACATCACTCCGACGTCACTATCCTTCTCCACGCGGTACCTCGGATTACGCCGTCACGCTTCGCGAGCGCTGGTCCGACCGTGCCTGGCTCCTCCGCAGCTCGTGGACCACGGCCAGCGCAGCCATCTTCTTCCTCGGCGAGACAGAAGCCTTTTTTCAGACGGAAATCGTCGCCGGTCTCTGGGATCACTTCCACACGTGGCTCCTCCCACCACCACCCAAGGAATCTCAACACTCTGCCTCCGCCTCCCGCTCGCAATCTCAATCCCGATTTGTGCCCTCTTCTGACCCCATCACCCCAACCTTCAATAAGCCAACGCTATTTCCCTCCGCCTCATCATCGCACGACCCCGAAACGCTCTCCACAGCCCATACCCTCTACCTCCGCACCCTCACCCACCGCCTCCTCCTCACCCAGCCCTCCTTCACGCAACCCCTCTACGCTCTCCTCACCCACATCGACCACCTAGCAACCCACCTTCACCGTCTACACTCCCTCTTCACGTCCTCGGACCTCCACCACGACGCCGGCGTCCTCGACACAACCAGCTCCTCTGACCGAGACCGCGAGCAAGGTCAGCTCCTTGAGTCGCTCCACACACTACACCACAAAGTCAAGAACGGGATTCAGGATGCCGTTCACGCACTCCGGGCGCTAGAATCAGATCCTTCTTTTTTGGCTGAATGGGATGGACAGGCGCTTGCGGAGCCGGAGGAGGGCGAGGGCGAGGAGCATATGGGGTATGTTCCTGCGAGGGTAGGGGGTGTGGATCGATTGTTGATGAAGTTGGATTTTGGGAGTTGGATTACTGGGTAGCTGGAGGTGTGACGAGATCAGGTCTTTTCTCTTTCTGATTCTTTTCTCTGTTTTCTTTGTCCTAGGTCCAAGGCGCTGTTGCATTGTGTTGTGATGGAATC